GATGTACTAGAAAAGGGGGCGGAAGAGGGAGAGAGTGAGGGGAGAGGCGAAGAGGTGGACACCAAAGGTGTCTGAATCTGTAGGAAATCGGTCTGAATGGAAGAGACAGCAGGCTGATTCTGCACAAGAGATGGTGGTTGGGGAAGTTCGTGCTCGGACAAGACCATCGACAAAGCCTGGGCTGATTCGGAAGATATGCAGGTAAATGGAGATGTCTGGCTTGTTTGCAAGATGCGAGCCCTCTTACTGTAACGATGCACAGAATGTCGAGAACGTTTCCGTCCAACCATGTCACCAGCATCGATACTGAGATCAGACACAGCGCCTTCAGCCAATTCAGAGAATGTGGTCATCTGCGAGAGTTCATTGGCTCCAGGAGCAGGTCTGGATGGTTTAAGATCCCTTTGCTGCAAAATCAAACTCGGGCAGTATTTATCAGCTGGATCAGCTGGCTCCTCGGCTTGATTATTAAGAGATAAAAGTTGGTCAAATATGTATTGACGGAGAAAAGTGGTTAGAGAACTTTCGATTAACAGATTTTTATTGTGGATTTGAGTCATTTCGTAAGAAGTGATGTGACTTTAAATGGTTGAGATCATAATCCAGTCTTTAATTGTCTCCTATATTTTTGTCATTCTTTTTTATAATAGGCAACATACTTGGCTTATGACTGCAAAAAAACAAGGCAATAAGACTTAGAATAGTCAAACAACACAATAAGTATCTATACAAAACCATTGATAAATAGACCTTGTGAAAAATAAAATACAACATAAATCCATAGAATATTCGAACAATGGTAACGGTAATCGAAGTAAAAACTCCTTATGCAACATACACAATAAAATTGAAAAATTAACAAGCTTTGGCATTTATGAGCGAAAGAATGTGCAACACGTGGTTTAAGAATACTTACATTGAAACATGAATGAGGTTATAGAATATAGGTAAAATAAATGTAACAGCGTTTTATTTTTAGGCAACTATAAAAAAAATATCAGTTTGGTGAACTTTTTTTCGCAACTTGGTCATATTGGCAGGAAGACCTAGAGAAACGCACCTTGTCAGGAATCCATGGTATGCTTCAAAAGTTCAAGTCGGGCCATGGACTGGTTACATACCTATACGCTTCACCGGCCTCGTCAGTAAGTCTTGCCAGTTTTAACACCACAATACAACTTGTAAAAGAGACAAATGAACTCTATTCTTTGACTAATTATCTGCTAAACAATTGCGGTATCCCTCCGCCTGTTCTGGGGCATTCACTTATCTTATATCCTCGTATCACCCCTTTACTATCACATCCTCTTGGTCTTCATAACTTCGAGTATAAAGAAAATAGATACAAAGCACATTCTATGTTTCTATCATAAAAACAAGGCAAACCAAACATTTTCATAGTATAAGTCGTTAAAGGATCAAAAGCAGGTTAAATATGAGAAAAGGCTGCATAACACGTGCAGGATATGATTGAAACGGAAATAATGATTGTGATAGATTGCTTGCTTGATTAGCGGCATTCGAATATAATTTTATGCGTAGAGAATTGATGAGGGATGATTGAGGACGAGGTGACGAAAAGAAAAGTAGACAAAAATGTAAAGAAAAATGTCGTCTATTGTAATCTGTTTTAAGTAGTAAATAGAAAACGTCAAAAGTGATCATTTTTACACGTAATACATCATAATGGATCGTATAGCGCAATATATAGGTTATTTAATTAATAGATGTAGGATGAAAAAACAATAGTAAGAATCTATGTACGCTATAGATCGACTGAAAGTAAATATGCAGGTTATCTAAAAGGACTAATGAGACGAGATCCTAAATTCATCATTGACCTAGCAAATATTTGGTCAAAAGATTAAACAATTCTTCATAAGGCCGATATTAATTCACCCCAATCAATATTTCAGGCATATTACGTCATATAAAATGACGCTATTTCATAGGTTTCCCATCATTTGAAAGATCTCAACGTGGATAAAAAGG